TCTGCTAGTGGGGGGCCAGCCACAGCTTCTCTGGGCAACCTGTGCCAGTGCCTCAGCACCCTCAGAGGGGAGAATTTAAACAAAGTTAAACCGAAGACAGTCTGGTGTTTCTGACTGCCAACCGCTCCGTGCCCCGCTTGCAGCTGACGTGCACACGACTGCGACAATAACTCGCCCCAGTGCATGCACCGGGAGCTGCAGCTTCCATGGGGAGCGAGAGGCAACCCCTTTACTGCGGGTTTTGGGATTGTTCTCCTTGTATTTATAACGTGCATGTGGGACAACAGGTCTCCAAAAGCGAGGGTGCTCCGGCAGTACACCCTCGGTGGGCAGCGGCGGGGCAGGAGGGCTCGGCGCGGGCAGCGCGCCCGCTCCCGCCGTCCAGGAAAACACGGAGTTGAAAAATCACATGGCTAAACGCCAGCAAAAGATCTGGAAAAACAAACATCTGCTCAAAACAGATGGCATACTCGCAGCGGTGGGCTGAAAGCTGTCCACGTCCTTTGTTTCTCTCGCTAGAACTTTTTCTAGTAAATATTTACCTGTTTACCGGGATGTCTGCGTTGAGGGTTTTGAATGCAATTCTGAGTTATTGGGAAATTCTCTGTGCTTGTTATTCACTTTCACGTTTACACTCGTTTCATGTGGATTTTATGCTCAAAGTCCTTCAAACTGGCTGCATTGAGTTTTTGGGTGTGTGGTCATAGGCCTCAGCTCTGCCTCCCACCCTGGTTGCCAAAGCTCACGGAGCCGCGGTCCCACCGGAGCCTTGGAGCGAGCGGCATTCCGCAGCCGGAGCCTGCAGCTCCATCAGCTTTTAGCCGCAGCCTTCAGACCGCTGCGCAGTGAGGGCACGAAAAATGTATTTGCTTTTCCATAATCCCCCAAATTAGTTTCCACCGATAAACTTTGGGGTTTTTTTTTGTTCCAGAATGCTAATGGAGACATGCATTACCTTGCCAGGGGCAGAATGATATTCTGCATTTTTCCATTAATTTGCATTGTTATCAGGCATCATAGACTATGACATAATCTAATTATTAAGGAAGGTTCTAAGGGGGGATGTGTAGATAGATAGATGTAAATAGAACACCTATTAATCCTTGCATTGTGAAGCAGTGTTTGCACTTTTAAGACTGAGGACCCTGTTTTCCTTCCCGCTGCCCTCCCCACTACTTCTCGTTATGGCTCCTCTTGAGTTCCTGGCATGGCTTTAAACTGAAATGTCATTTGACCCTTCTGTGGTCAGACACAGTTAGTTATCCGTAATGCATAATTCATTGCTGAAAAAGCATCCAATAAATTGCAATCGTTTGGGGCTTGACAGTAGCTTGCACAGAGGTTTTTCTGTCGTGCATATGCATGTGTGCACAGCACAGTTTGGCTTGGAATCTGGCTGCTCACCCATGCTTTCCGGGATGCAGTGTGACAGCTTCTGCAGATACCCAGCTGAAAAATGAAGTAAGGACTCAGACTTACTCCGCAAGACACCGACTAGTTCCTAAACATGTATTATCCTCAACCTTAGTTTGTTTCTAGCAACTTTTACCCACACGTTAGGCAGGTTTCCGAGCATACGCCTCCTGTAGTGGTTGGATATCGGTGGCTGGTTCAGCTGGGGTTTGTGCTTCTTGCATAACTTTATGGTACTTAATTATATTGTGTTAACTCATGCTTTTTAGGGCGCTGAATTGGGCAAATTAAAGAATCAATAAGATGGCGAGGCATTATTATCGAATTATAAAAATAGACTATGATGCTAAAATCAGCATCGATGCCTAGACTTTTATCCTCAGTATCAATAATTTGCAAAATTACAATGATACATTTTGGTTTCTATTTTTCTAAATATGCAAATATCTCCAGTGAAAGAAAAGTGTTTTCTACAAATTTTTTAGGGTTCTTTTTCTTATTTTCACAAATTACTTTGTCCTTAGAAGACAAAGTTCTCTGTAATGCCACAGTTTTTTCTTTACACCTGCATGGTTTGCTTCTGCAGTGCTCTCGTTTGTGAGGCAGGCTTGGGCATATTCTTAGCAAGGAAACCTTATTGTGTCAACTGGGGAAGAAAAAAGCATCTTTACTAAAGAGAATTGACTTGAACACTTTTCCCCAGTAAACACTTCAGGAATTAATTGCAATGTAGTGAATACCCACGTCTTACTTTTAGCATTTAAATGTGTGCACAGGCTCTTCTCTTAAGCATTATGGGGCAGAAAGACAGAGCAAACAGATGTGCACTCCCTGCCTCGGAATGAACCTGCCCAAAGGAGAGGGTCAGCTGTGCAAACACTGCAAATGCTGCTGCAAATACATGCTGGGAGTATCTTCTAGTGCAATAACCTGCCGTTACGCAGCAACCACTGCAATAAAAAGCTGGGGTGGGTCATGTTTTCCCCTAAGAAAAGGTGCATTTTCCCAGTTGCTGGATTAGCTGCGTTGCTACGGATCCCCACAGGTACTGTCAAACCTCGTGTCCAATGAGCTGTGACAGCCCGTTGAAAATATTTGCCATATATTGTAAAAAGCCTTTTCCGTGTGAAAATGTTTTACAGGGGTTTGCAACGTGTATTTTGTTCACACAAAACTCTTCAAGAGAGGAAATAGTTCTTTTGTAAGTCTACAGCATGAAGGCTGAGTGGCAGAGCTCAGTGACCCTAGTTTTACGTGGAACCTCCTTAAAAATGGGATATTTAATATGTAGTAAAGTGTTAGATCATAAAGAATGAACAAAATGCCAAATGTGTAGGTCCGCGTGCGGTAATACTAACTCACCGGGCTGGGCTTTTGCTCTAAGGCACAGGCATACAACCTTAAGGTCTCATGTTGTAAAGGGATCCATACCGTTTTTAGATAGTATCATAATTTGTATTAATCACTGTTGATTAAAAATACTTTTTTTTAAAATTTTCCCTGTAGGTCAGCAAGTTGGAAAGAGAGAAAAATCAGGAAGTTAAGCAGATCAAAGAGCACGAACAGCATAAAAGTACAGTGGTGGTAACGGAGCTCAAAGTCAAACTTCATGAAGAGAAGATGAAGGAGCTCCAAGCTGTTCGAGAAGCACTTTTGAGACAGCATGAAGCTGAACTACTTAGAGTAATAAAAATTAAAGATAATGAAATCCAGAGACTACAGACCCTTCTCAATGCTGTGCGCGATGGGGCTCCTGACAAGGTGAAAACAGTGCTGCTCACGGAGGCCAAGGAGGAGGCCAAGAAGGGGTTTGAAGTTGAGAAAATAAAAATGCAGCAAGAAATTTCAGAACTGAAGGGGGCTAAGAAACAAGTGGAAGAGGCTTTAACTATGGTCATCCAAGCTGACAAAATCAAAGCAGCGGAGATAAGGAGTGTGTATCACCTGCATCAAGAGGAAATCAGCAGAATTAAGAGAGAGTGTGAGAGAGAAATTCGTAGACTGGTACGTGTTGCTATGTGCTTCTGTGTTTTTACTAACGCCTATGTTACTGATAGTAAGTAAATGGAAGTTCCGTGGTGGTCTCGGATGAATGGATAAGGATGGGCATTCAGACTTCTGGGGCTTGCTTCAAATCTGTTTTACGTTTACTAGTAGAGATGTCAAAATGTTTTTTTAAAAGCAATTAGGATGTTTTGTAAGGAACTTCTTTATCTGTGTCAGTGTCTATTAATATTGTTCACGTTTCAGATGTCAGGAAGAGGCCTTGGGTTACGAGCTGGCTAGGGGAATTCTGCAAAACAGTGATGTTTCTTGGCCCATGCCTCTATTTCCCCACCATTTGTTCCTTGCTGATCCGCCCTGGTCCCTCCCTTTCCCTGCCTTTGCTAGTTCCTGTGAACACCACATGATGAGCTTTACACAATCCCAAAATGCTCTTTGTTCTGCATCCCATAGTGAGTCCTATACCCCATAGGCAATGACCCCCTTAACTCTGCAAGGTGTTCAGGAAGGAATTCCTCTCTGTTACCCACCTTGGTGGCTTTTCCCCAGGACAGGCACTGGTGCTCCTTCTTTGGTGGCCCCATGAGCAGCAACTCAGCAGGCTCCCATCCTCAGCAGGTGACTGAGGTTCCTCACCCATCATTGCTCATCTGCTCCTCACTCTGGTCCTTGTGTATGCTGGTCAGCCTTCAATCACCTAACCCAACCGTCTGAGTCTCAGTGTGACCCTCAAAGGCAATGACTACATGCTTATGGCTTCGGAGTATTCCTCCAGTCTGTTTGGAAATTTGTGGAAGAGATTAAATCGGACCATGTTGCTTGGGAAAGCAGAGAACTCCCTGCGGGAGGGAGCTCCTTCCAAGAGGGAAGCCCTTGCAGCAGAGCCTGTACTAGGTCACCTACACTTTGTGTGATTCAGGATGATTTCTTCTCCACTGCCATCTCAGACACTCGCCTCACGATTCCCACGGTCTTGTGCGTGCCCGGCTGTTGTGCAGGGCTGTATCCCTTAATTATTGCTGCCATTCCCAAGGACGTGGGAACAAATGTAACGCCCATACTCTTGTGATGCATATTTTGGGTCTTGTCTCACTATTTATTTGAAGCCACCATCTTTTTGTGTTTGCCGTGCTTTTTTAGAGCATGCAGTGTCTCAGTATAAACTCACCCGCGTCTCCTCTGAGTCATTATCCCACGACTGTTATCCAAATCCTAAACCAAATCTAACACTGCACAGCCAGCCTGGTGCCAAGGCGATGCGTGGCAGCATAGCCATGCCCACCCTGCAGAACCTGCCCACCGCGGAGCCGCTGCGGCACCGTCCTAGGAGCCCGAGCGACCGCCACCGACGGCCGCAGCCCGCGCCGCTCTGTTCGTCCGTCCGTGTTACGTGCCCCCCGTTGAGCCACCCGGCCTCTCGGACTTCAGCCTGTTAAGGCTTTGTTCCCCTCATAGATGATTTTAGTTTAATGAAGAGGGTATTAAAATAGTTTATAACCAGCTGATCCATCGATACTGTTCAAATATCGGCAGCGTCAGTCCTTTCTGCACGTTCCTTACTGGATGCACCGATTTAATGTGTCGGGATGACGGGGGGCTGACGTACATCCCAACTAAACTTGCTGCGTCACGTGAAAAGTCCACGCTGATGGCCTCTAATGTGGAAGCTATAAAATAAATATGGTCTCAGTTATAAGGAATAGAGTGGTTTGAGGTTACGTTGTCTAAATTGCCTTTGAAAATCCAACTTTTTTTTAATTCCTCCTTGAAAGAATCAGATTATCTGACTGTACTAATTAAATTACGCGACGCCATCGTTTTGCCGAGCCCTGAGTGCTCCCTGAGTGGCGTTAAGTACTCTCAGCTCCACTGACTCCACCGCGTTTGATCCCAATGGGAGCTGGTGGCTCCCGGCACCTGGCACCTGGCAGGGGAGGGCTCTGCCGTGCCAGGGAGGGGGCGGGATGGTGCCATGTCATAGAATCACAGAATGGTTTGGGGTGGAAGGGGCCTCAAAGAACCAGTTCCAACCCCCTGCCATGGGCAGGGACAAACTCTACTACACCAGGTTGCCCAAAGCCCCATCCAACCTGGCCTTGAACACTGCCAGGGATGGGGCAGCCACAGCTTCTCTGGGCAACCTGTGCCAGTGCCTCACCACCCTCAGAGTGAAAAATTTCTTCCTTAGATCCAATCTAAATCTCCCCTCTTCCAGTTTAAATCCGTGTCATATGATAAAATCTCTATGAAATGAGGCAATTCTCAAAAAACACAAATTATAACCGAAAAGCAGTTCTTTTTTCCGTTTTTAAGATAGGGGCCATCACTAAAGTACTCACGGAGCCTCGCTGGGCTTGCGATGAGATAGAACCACAGGATATCGCGACATGAGCGAGTCCAGCAGAACGATGGGATTGCACCTTCGTGCAACAGCTCTGGCAGGCGTCCAGCCCTGCTTGGTAATGGATTCTCATGGGGATTGTGAGAGCTCCGTGATCCGTTTGCAATGCATTATTTAGCCATTTTAACCAAGGGGGGAAGTAGCCTTCGAGCAAATTATTATTTCACGCCTAGA